GGCTGGTCCTGCACTCTGTCCTCCTGCCCTGACCTCCCAATGTGCTAGGATTACAAGTGTGAGTCACCACACCCAGCCATGCAGCGTAATAGTTGAATGTACTTTTTTTTTTTAAGGGATAGGGTCTTACTCTGTCACCCAGGCTGAAGTGCAGTGGTGCAGTCATAGCTCACTGCAGCCTCAAACTCCTGGGCTCAAGTGATCCTCTTGCTTCAACCTCCCAAGTAGCTGGGACTACAGGCACATGCCACCATGCCCAGTTAATTTTTAATTTTTTTGTAGAGATGAGTTCTCATTATGTTGCCCAGCTTGGTCTCAAACAGTCCTTCCACCTTGTCCTCCCAAAGTGCTAGGATTATAGGCATGAGCCATCATATCTGGTCTGTAAAATAAATAGTATAGTGCCTTTTTTTTTTTTTTTTTTTGAGGTGAGGTCTCACTCTGTTGCCCAGGCCGGAGTGTCCCCTTTTTAAATTTGTGCTTTTTTGCCATTGGAGCCAAGGCCTTTCTTTCCATGCACATAGTTGGGTTTGCTATGTACAAGAATCAATTGAAGTATTTGCACCTGGAAATACAAATACCATAAGACTGCAAATGTTTTGAGGTATTTCATGGAGTTATTTTTAATACATTCTGTGGATAGTGGTTATGAATACAAATCATAGCCCAGCTTATACAGCTGAATTATGCATTTGGGATATGACTCCTTGAAGGTTGCAGTGGTGGGTGGAGAAAGGGATGGCTATTTCCTAGGCAGCATAGTAGGCTACTCTGATTCCTTTCCACTAAACTCATCACATTTCACAGGAAGAGGAGTGGGGAAAAGAGACATATAAACCACATGGATAAGCTACTTTCCAAATCTCATTATAATTTTTTTCTTTTCTCTTTCCCTCTCTGCCTTCTTTGTTCCTTCCTTTTAATCAGCTCATTAGAAAGCTGTGGTTGGCTGGCATCTCCTGGACAAGTCCTAAGGATGGCTTACAACATGACTTGGGGTTCCATTTGGAGATGTCTTATATCAGAACAGATTAGTTGACATTCTTGAAGCTCTGGCTGGTCTCCTATACTGTATTCTCTGCTTACCCCACCCCCAGCATTTGACTCCTGCTGTGTCTGGTCTTGGGACACTGTTGTTAGCCAGAACAAAAATGCTTAGGGAGTTGAGACAAGAGACTCTTCCATGGTCTTCTATCTCTCTGTCTGATGGTGGGAGAGGGTTTGAATCTGGGGTCCATGGGCTGGTTGTGTGTGGGGCCGTATTGTCTGTGAACCCTTCTGAAATTGAAGGTAAATTTGTATATATTTCTGCCCTGTGATTCTGATGAAAGCTGTGGATTCTCAAAGGGGCTGTGAACTAAAAAGTGCTAAATCATCGTTCTTGGGTGTTGCTAGGCATACTATTGTATGCTGTATTTTCTGCTTCACCCCGTCCCCAGGAGCTACTAGGATATGGCATGGACATAGGTCGACTCCCTCTCATCCCTTTCCCCACCCCAATGAGGAGCCTGCTTTAGAGTCCAGAGCAGGGATGTCTCTAAGAATTAAACCTCATTATTGAGGGTTGCTGCATTGTCCCCAGATACCTCTGAAAGTCATACATGAGTAGCATGAGCCAGTTGTAGAAGATCCACTTACAGAGAGGGGTGGAATTTTGGCCTGGGTGCCGGTACTTTCCTGCATTTGATGTGTTCACGCATCTCTGCAACCACGGAGCATCCAAGACAGGGTGTGTTGAGAAGTTTTTGCCATTCCTGTGCCTGCGTGGGAAGGTGTGTTGGTATCACACTGGTTAACGCTGTCTCATCAATGCTGTCTGGACTATTAGTTGTATAGGACAGACCAAGTTAAGCATGAACTACAGTGAATAAAGCCTTACTCGCTTCTTTTAGACATTTGAGAGGAACTTTTACACAGGATCTTGATGAGTGATTAAAATTCTGTTTTGTTAGCTTTACATATACATTAGAATTGATTTTTAAAATTTTACATGTTTACTTAAATCAGAAGTTGAAAATTGGCTTCACAGAAATGTCTTCTGCTTCACTGAACTTTGTTTTTAGCTTATGGCTTTTGAAGGGGATAATGTAACTTTGTCTCTATATCATGAATGGTTTTAAAGTAAGTTTTCAGAAACTGGTTGGTATTTGGCTCTTTGAACAGAGCAAGAAGTATTAGTTATAATTTAGTGTGCATTGTCATGTAGCTTACTCAACTGGGTATGTTACCTTAATATTAACCCTTTGCACTTGGATGTCGAGTGTGACTCGACATGGTTAGCAAAAATTATAGAGATTAAAATTACTCTTTGAATGTATCAATAATTTGAAATATAAAAAAATCCAAATAAGTTTGTGTAAAAAGAAACTCCAGTGTTTTATTCTGTTGCACGCTGGGCTGTGCGTGTTCATCTGTGGCTGTCGACTATAGTCGACACCGGGCCGTGCGTGTTCATCTATGGCTGTCCACTATAGCCGACGCCGGGCCATGCTCGTTCATCTGTGGCTGTCCACTTTGTAAAATCTGGAGTATTTAAAAAATTAAATCCCGAGTAGAATAAAGGAATCGAGAAAAAAGCATGAGAGTGCGAAGGGTTAAGAATAAAATATTTTATCTCAGGCTTAAGAAAAAATGGGTAAATAATATTTAATTGGAACTTGTAAATATACATTTTAAAATAATACCGAGGTACAAAACTAAGAATCTTCTAACCAGGAATTGTTAGCATTTTGGTTTAAAAAACAATTTTTTTTTTTTTTTTAAGAGAGAAGGTCTCAGTCTGTCACCCAGGCTGGAGTGTAGTGGTGTGATCATAGCTCACTACAGTCTACAACTTGTGGGCTCAAGAGATCCTCTAGCCTCTGCCTCCTAACTAGCTGATACTACAGGAACACACCACCATGCCCTGTATTTTTAAATTTCTTGTAGAGACTGGGTCTTACTGTGTTGCCTGGGCTGGTCTCAAACTCTTAGGCTTAAGTCAGCCTCCTGCCTCAACCTCCCAAAGTACTGGGATTACAGGTGTGAGCCACTGCACCCTGCCTGGTTTTAAAATTTAACTTAGTGGTGTAATTGAGTGTGAGTTGCGTGCTAGGAAATCAAGTCATTTAATAGACTTTTACTTTTATTTACCACTTTTCTAGCCATCTTTATGTTTTCTAGAAGAAAATTTTTTGCTGTGGTGATCATTTGAGTCTGTGGGTTTTGGTGGCCTTTTTTGTGTCAAAGAGTGGACCCCACCCCCATCCCAACGAGACATCCACAAAGGTTGCCAAAGGTCCCCTTTCCCCTAATTGTTTCACTTTCTTCCCTTCCTATAACAAACCAAACCAAACCTCTACCAATTTCGGATTCCTAGCTTTAAATATAATTTTGTTTTGTCATTATTTTTGGCTTTAATATTTTGGTACTTAAAAAATTAAAGCAAAAGTTTGAAGTATTTTTAAAAGAAAATAATTTTTATTTTTCTTGCTCTCCTTTTTCATTCTAGTTCATTATCCTTATATTTATTTGATGGGTGACAATTTCATTTTGGCTGTTAAATGTCTTCCTTGCCAACTATTATACATTGATTGAACATCATTGCTCAAACCTGAAACTTACCTTTTCTCCAAGGAGATACAACTTTGGGATCATTTTAAGGGTGGCCTTCAATAAAAGTCATATTACGTCTTCTAAGTGTCCTTGGTGGCTATGGAAGTTAACAAGCATTTGTGCACAGGATCTGAGTGAGGTCCAGTTGTGGTTAAAATAATTTGAACGTGCTCTGGTTCTCTTATTCTTCTATTTCTGCTTTGCTTCTTTTGTATGTCCTGAATCACTGCTTTTGATTTCCAGTAATCTCCCATTCTGCTTTTGTCTTCCTATTGCATTTAGTTCTCCTGTTCTGCTGTTTATTTCTTTTTGTTTCTTTCCTTTTGGCTGTTGTAGAAATTTGCATTTGTAGCTGTATGGAGAGATGCTTGTTTAGAGAACCTTCTCTGGGCAGTTGGTGTTGGAATTGTGTTTTGGTTATTTTGTAAATTAAAAAGGAAGAGGACAGAAGTGCAGCCAAATGTACAGGCAGGATAGCCACAGAATTTACTTGAAGTACAATTTTTAATGATGGTATATTCATGGGCTGTTAGAATAAAGAAGTAGAAGAGGAACCATGTAGAAAATACAGCTCTCTTCCAGTCTTCTCATTTGGAAGATGAGAAAACTGAGGCCAAGGTTGAGGAAGTGGCTTGTCCAAAGACAGGTTTCTGATAATGATGTTATGAAAGTGACTTGCTTAAATGAATGTTTTACAGGATTAGAACTTCTCTTGTATTTGATAAAGCCAGGAAGCAGGCTGAAAGATGTCGTTAATTTGTTGAGCAAATGAACAGCATTTAGTCACTTTTTATTTTAGGTTTTTGATGTATAGTTTCTGTGAATCAGGTTTCTTGTTTGCTTTTAACTCTGGCTTGGGCTTTAAGGGTGACATCAGACCTTTTACTTGAAATCTCAGTGGAGTTGGAGTGCACGGAAAGTACCTTTTCCTAATATTTGTTCCCTTACCCCCACAACATTAAAACACACACTTTCACATTTTTAGAGAGAAAAAGGAATAAGAAATGATCACTGGGCAAATTGTTTACTAATACTCTGCACCAGTGGATATAGAATGAGAATTAATAAGAATAGCTAACTTTTTTGAGTGCTAATTATTTTACCTGCGTCTGTTTCTCACAACAGTCCTTTAAGGTGAATACTCTTACTATCCTTTTGATGGGTAGTCAACCTTGGGTGCTGTTATACATGCAGCTAAAAAAGGCTGGAGTGAGAAGTAGTTCAGCCCTGCCAGTCTAGCTCCCGAGTTCCCACTCCAGCCACTGCACTCCGCAGAGGACTTGCCCACACAGCAGGCATTGTGATGTCTTAGGCAGGAGGAAGATTAGGAGTTGGGAGCCATTCAGGAAGAGGGAACACCCAGAGCAAATCTCAGGTGTAGAGGCACAGGGTAGTGTTGGTCAGGCGTTTGGTCTGAAGTATAAGTAGTACACAGGGAAATAATGGAGTACAGGTTAGGGGGTGGGTCTGGTCCAGATTTTGATATTATTAGTGTTTGGGAAACATTGAAAGATTGACATGCTAGACTCCCCACCTCAGTCTGTCTCTCCCAGCACCCATTGTTCTCTTTTCCCAGCTGTACTAGGCTATGTACTAGGAAGTGAGGTGATAAGGGAATTGGGGGTGGGTATTTTAGTCTTTTACATAATTTCTTATGTTTTAGCTTGGTAACTCTTCTTTCCTTGTTCCATTGTGTCTGGATCCTTGTGTCAGAATGGGGTGTGCTCTCATGGGGAGGGAGTATAGGGAATTGGGGGTCTGATGGTTCCTTACATGGATGTCAGGCAGGCCCCTTGCTTTCAGCCCATTGTGCTACCCTCCAAAGAAGTTGGTGCCTCCAATTCGAAGCCCTTCTGGGCTTCTGTGGGCTTGGCTTATTGGCTTGCCTTCTGCATCCGCTCTCCGTCCCCGCCCCGCTCCCAGCCTTGGGCTTCCTTGTCCTGTGTCATTTACCACGCTATCTGCTTTCACTATTTGGGCTTTCACCTGCCTTCTGGTTTTGTCAAAGATAGGTGTTTCTGTTTCCCTTTATTGTCGTTTTGGGGTGAATTTTGAGGGTGAAACTTCAGACTAGAAATCCCATTCTTCATCATTGTCTAGCACTTAGTGGAGTTTTCTCCCTTTCTAATACTTGGTAGGCTCTTGTTAGCTTGCCAGAGAACTAACAAGATAGTGGAACAGTGGAGATATATACAACAGAACATGGGTGGCTGGTTAATTATGGGGGTCACAGCAGGAGGAGCCTTAAGGAAGGTTTTTTTTTTTTTTTTTTTTAAGCTTTGGAGCTTTGTAATAATTGATGCTATCCTATCCTTGTTTTTTGAGTAGCTGTCGTTAGATTTGCTTGTAACATGTTACAGAGGTCAACAATTGGCCTGCATTTCTATATAGATACTTTTATTAGCACTATCTCCATTCTTGGAACTTGACAGAATGATTTTAAGAGCTTCACTCATAAGAGGTATGCTGAGATCTCTAGGTATATAGTTGAGACATTAATAGAAGTCACAATTAAAATGGCCTCAGAGCCATGCAGCAAATAAAATGATGTAAGCTATCTCATTTAAAGTAAGGAATTGTGAAGGGGAAGAAAGTGGTAAGATAGAAACATAAGCATCTGAGATGTAAGACCCTTATTTTATCAGATTATCATCATGTGTTATGAAAAAAGTTAAACTTTTAGTGTCTTATACATTTTATGAGTAGCTGTTTTATTGTGATATGATGGAAAATGTTAGTGCAACAAGTGTTTGAAAATGTCACTTTGGTGTGATTTCAGTGAGGAGGACATGTATCGTGCTGCAGATGAAATAGAAAAGGAGAAAGAATTGCTTGTACCTGAAAGAGGGGCATCAGGTATGTTTGGAATTATTTTATTTATAGAGTTCTTAATGTTGATAGTACAAAATGCAGTTAAATTGGTATATCCATTTTTATAAAAGATTGACATCCACTTCTAGGAAATAATGCTGATGAGTATGGTCTTACCTCCATTAATTATTTGTTTTGCTGAAGTGTGTTTAGGGAAGTCTGTTTCCTGGGGTTTTAAATTTTTAATGCACATATTCTCTCTGCATTCTTTACATTCACACTGTTTTTTGTACCTGTGAGGATTGTTTTGTTTAATTTCTTGACACCGTCCTCTCTCTGTTCTTGATTTCCCTATATTCTTAGAATTCACATTTGAAATGCATTTTTCATTTCCAATTGAAGGACTTACTGAGAAGCTGGCTGTATACATCTTTGCATGCAGATGGCTGTGTGACTCTGACTGAATAAGAAGAAAGACAGTCATGGGATTAATAGCACCAATTCTCATCCTCTGGTTCATGTCCATGTTTCTCATCTGTCTTGCCTGCTTTTCTTACCACCATCAGGACCCATTGCTGTTGGGGCAAGGCATTACTCCTAGCCCTCTCCACTGGTCCGTGGAGACCAAGCTGGCAGGCTACGTGTGACAGAGTACATCCTTCCTTGGTTGGCTTCATGCGGGAGTCGAGTGGGGATACTCTCATTTGGCGATACTCCATAGATAATTCACAAATAGCATTTTCTCTCTCATTATCTGTATAATATATGAGGGGATTTCAATTAAAAGATAAAAATAAAAAATGTAAACTTTATTTCTCAACATAAGCTGCATCAAGGTCAAGACGCTTTTGTAAGCAATGCTACTAGCCATTTAGTTTGTCCCTAAAGAACTGAGGGTCCTCGGAATTTAACCATGTCAGTGCAGTCTCTTTTTACATTACTAACTAAAGAAAAATGGGTGTCCTTTAAATGGGTGTTTTTTAAGATTAGGAAACAAAAAAAAGTCAAAAGGAGTCAAATCAGAACTGTCAAGTAGTTGCTAATGATTTCCCATAGAAACTCTTGCCATTGTTGAGAAAATGAGTAGGACCATTGTCATAGTGGAGAAGGACTCTGGCGAAGCTTTCTTGGCTGTTTTTCTGGTAAAGCTTTGACTAACTTTCTCAAAACACTCTCATAATAATAAGCAGATGTTATCATTTTTTGGCTTTCCAGAAAGTCCACAAGCAGAATGCCTTGAGCATCCCAAAAAACGGTTGCCATGACCTTTGCTTTTGACCAGTCCACTTTTGCTTTGGTTGGACCTCTTCTACCTCTTGGTAGCCATTGCTTAGATTGTGCATTGTCTTCAGGATTGTACTGGTAAAGCCATGTTCCATATTCTGTTACGCATTTCTTCAAAGAAATGCTTCAGGATCTTGATCCCACTTGTTTAAAATTTCCATTGAAAGCTCCTGATCTGGGCACAACAGTTTTGGCACTTATCAAGTAGAAAGTTTGTTCAACTTTAATTTTTCATTCAGAATTGTGTAAGCTGAGCCAATTGAGATGTCTGTGATGTTGGCTATTGTTTTTGCTCTTAATCATTGGTCGTCTTCAATTAGGGCCCTTAATGAGACTAATTTTTCCCTTGGAAATTGATGTGGATAGTCCTGTGCCATGAGCTTATCGTCTTGTCCCTTCTTAAAATCAGTTATCCATTTTTAAACTGCTGATTTCTTTGGGGCGTTGTCCCCATACACTTTTTGTAAAGCATCATTGATTTCACCGTTCATCCACAAACTTCACCATAAATTTGATGTTTGTTCTTGCTTCAGTTTTAGCAAAATTCATGGTGCACTTTCTAAATTGATATCTTATCCTTAGTACCTCAGACTAGATCCTGTTCAGACTCGTAACATGTTAGTATGAGTTTATTTTGGTGCAAAAAATTTTTGAAATCTATGCATAGTTTTTTCATAATGTGCATTTTCCATGAAATTAAGTGGTCTTTTTGAAGACCCCTTATATGTGTTCTATTGGTTTGAGAACTGGCTTCCGTTTATGTTTAATAAAAGCATTGTCATATATGTAAGTCGGAACAGATGATACATAGTTGGTTTTTTGTTTTGTTTTGTTTTGTTTTGTTTTTTAAATAAGAATTTCTGAGTCTTCCTCACCAGGAATCGGCCAGCTCTTCACTGTGGTAGCCAAAGGAGATTTCTTTGTAGTGGTTCTGGTGTGTTCCTCGGCCACATTATTCTGGTCCTCTATGAAACTTCAGAGGATGCTTGGTTTCTACTGCTGTGGTTTCTCAGAGTTTACGTAGGACATGAAGTCCTTATTAGTTATGTTCCTAAAGAGAAAGAGCATATTCAGCCAGTGTCTGTTACTGCTGAGGGACCTCTCATTTTGTACTTTACAAGCTCTTTGTTGGGATTCTTTTCTGTCTAGCTTTGTAACCCACACAGGTGTTCTAGCTTTTTAGTGGGCCTTATAACTTCCAGCTTCCGTCTGAGAGTAAAATGGATCTTCCTTGCATGTCAGTCCTTCTGGGTTCGTTGTCCTTCCTGAAATAACATTCTTTGGAAGTGTCCCCTCCCCTGAAGCAGAGTGCAGGCAGAAGCAGAAAGTTTTCTTATCCTTTCTGTTAGTGAAAGGATTTTTTTTCCCACCTAGTCTGAGGGTCAGCAAATTATGGCTCCTAGACCAAATCTGACCTGCCACCTGGTTTTGTAAATAACATTTTGGGGGAACATATTAGTTTGCATATTGTCTGTGGTGGCTTTCATGGATGGTAAAGTTGAGTAGTAGTGATAGAAACCTTATGGCCCTCAAAGCCAAAATTGTTTCTTGTCTGGCCCATTTCAGAAAAAGATTGATACTCCTGTCCTAGTCTACCCCCTGTTTGAGAGGCCCAGCTTTCTGCAGTGGTTTCAGTTTTAACTTTCTACCTTCTGAGGGTCTCATTCTTGTCATTGTCACGCATGTGGTAGTTAAAGATCAAGCCTCTTGGTTTGATCATTGGTATTTCAGCTCTTGGCTTATCACAGGAGCTTCAACTTCCCTTATTTTTATTTTTGCCATTAGAAGTGTTCTTTACTGGAAGCCTCAATCAGAGTTTATGTAGTTTCCAATTAAGGAAAGGTACTGTTGTACTCCATAAGCTGTTTGAAGTCAGGTTCTGCCTTGTCCTGTGTCTCCAGCTCCTAGCCTAATATATGGCATGTAGTAGCCATTGGCATTTTCCCAAAGAATCATAGCAGAACCCCAAATAAGAACCGTATCATTTGATGCTGCCAGCTGTGCAGGTGCCCCAGCTTCCCAACCCTCACGCCCCATGTAGGCCTCAGATTCAACACTGGACTTCAGCCTGTATGAGGCTCTGTGCTGCCTCCCCTCAGTCCTGGGGTGCTTGGCCTACCCTGCTCTGCCCAGAAGGCCAGGGCTTGTCTTGGCATGCACAGGAGAGAGGACTGTAGCAAGGAGAGAAGGAATGTAGACTTCCTAGGAGGCCCTTCCTGAGCTGGAAGTGTGCTCTCTGTTTAGGCTCATAACCCTGCCTGGTGGGCAAAAGTGGACCAGTGACTGTCCTGACTCTCTACATTTGCAGTTCTTCCCTTATGGAGGTGAGTGGAGAGGCAGATACTTGGGAACACGTCTTTCACTAAGTAGACACTCAAAAAATATTTCTTGAATTTAAAAAATCAAGGGTCTTTTTTTTTTAATTTTTTTTTGAGACAGAGTCTTGCTTTGTTGCCCAGGCTAGAGTGAGTGCTGTGGCATCAGCCTAGCTCACAGCAACCTCAAACTCCTGGGCTCAAGCAATCCTGCTGCCTCAGCCTCCCGAGTAGCTGGGACTACAGGCATGTGCCACCACGCCTGGCTAATTTTTTCTATATATATATATATATATATATTAGTTGGCCAATTAATTTCTTTCTATTTATAGTAGAGACGGGGTCTCGCTCTTGCTCAGGTTGGTTTCGAACTCCTGAGCTCAAATGATCCGCCCACCTCGGCCTCTCAGAGTGCTAGGATTACAGGCGTGAGCCACCACGCCCGGCCCCAAATCAAGGGTCTTTATTTAACCACTTCGGTACGGTGCTCACCTGCCGGGAAACCTTGCCCACAGCTGGCACTCGTAGTCCACACGATAGTTTGTGCTGTGCATTGACGACGAATCTGTTTTGCTCTTGTGTGATGAGGAAAGCTTTAAAGCACTGAAAGCTTGTTTTACTTTATAGGCAGCTTTACTTATCATGTAAATCAGAATAGGTAACATATACATATATGTTTTCATTACATTCTTTTTAAATATTCACAATTTTATTTTGATAAATGAAAAATTAGAAAAGTCATGTCATGGCTGTCAGCTGAAGTCGATGCTCAGCTGTGCACCTTCATATCATGGCTGGTGGCTCAAGTTGCTGTGCATATTCTTCTGTGGCTATCGACTATATTCGACGCTGGTACTGAAGTGGTTAAAGATTGGCTGGGCAGTATTGATATCTGTGGTCTCCGTGTATTATACCTCAGGGTCTGTTTCACTTTTAAACTAATCCTGGTGTATCTGTGTAATCTATATATGTATTACTTTCCCTCTTATATAAATGGTTGCTTTTCTTCTAAAAGGATTCACAATGAGATATTTAGAAATAGGCAGTTCTTATAGCTTACTTAAAACATTTTTTATTTACATAAACTGCAAGGAGAGTTTAGGGTCTCTTCCTTTGTGTTCCTTTATCATCCTGGCATCCATCACACCCTGGCTTGTAAATGCCTGTTGTCATTTCTTCTTGAGTAATCTGTAAGTCCCTTCAGGACAGAATCTGTGTCTTCATCACCTTTGTATCTCGGGTTCCTAGCTCAATGCTTGGCATGTATAAGACACTCAATAAATATTTGCTGAATTCAGTTGAATAAAGAATTTTTATTCTATGTACAACTTCCTCAGGGGTAAATATATTGAAAGGTACTTCTGTATTTCTATTTTAAAATCATCACTAAGATCTGCATCTTTAATAATTTAAAAAGGAAGTCAAGATGTGCCTGAGGGCTTACCTCATTTTCTTCCTAAAACACACACGCTAACATATGCATGTGCGTGTATGTGCATATACCACAAAAATCAAACCCCAGACCGCCTACATTAAACAAAATCTAAAGGCCATTTTTTTTACTGTAACATTTGTCTGATTGTAAGTTGTGTTTTTAATTTAGGGAGATATGTTATTAGAGTCAAATGAGGTCTGTGGATCAGTAAACATTAAGAGTTTCTGGTTTATTATCAACTACTTCACAGCCTTTGGGATCAGGGTGAGACATAAATTAAGACAATTAAATATAATTTTGTTATAGTAGGTGTTATCTCTTTCTATAGTGAATGTAAAAAACTCATTATGAATTGTTAGAAGTTATTTCTGATAGTCTGGACTGTTTTGTCTTTAATTTGATTAGAAAAGTATTCATAAACACATGTGTCAGTGCAGTTCCAGGTGCTGTGGACAGAACACAGCTGAGAAACAGGGCCCCTCCCTCAGGAGCTCATGTTTTACTGTGTATATGGTTGTGTGTGTCAGATGTTGGTAAGTTCTAAGAGGAAAAACAAAATAGTATAAAAGAAATAGCAGAGTGTGTGTGAGATATTATGGTATTGGGGCATCAGGTGACACTGGAGCAGAGGCCTGCGTGGAGTGAAGGAGCTTCCCAGCAGGTATAGAGAAGAGCAAGGCAGTTGTGCTGGGGAGTTCCAGGGGGCTGCAGGTTGGGCTGGGGCAGGGTCCGTTCATGGAGTGGTGGGAACTGAGGTCAGAGAGGTGGCAGGGGGCCTTGCGGGGAATAAAGCCATGAGACAGGAAGCCCCTGGAACTGTCTGAGCCCAGGACCAATGAATGTCATCTGACTCATGTTTAGGTGGATCACCCTGGCTAGCTACCAGGTGGAGAATGGTATGCAGGGTGTGGTGACAAGGGAGTCCCACTGGGGATCCCCAAGGTTATCTAAGGGTGAGGAGATGGTGGTCTCAGGGGGTGGGCAGTGGTGGAATTTTGGATTTTTTGAAATGAAGTGAGAAAGAAAAGTGAGGAGTGAAGTGTGACTTCCTGCAGGTAAAGCAGTTACTATTATTCTGATTATGCTTTGGTTTATTATTTTATTATTTGCCTTTTTTTTTTTTCCTGGATTTGTTAATAGAACCCAGGTTAAGTGTGGCTCCTGAAATGGATATTATGGACTACTGCAAAAAAGAATGGAGGGGAAATACGCAAAAAGCAACATGTATGAAAAAGGTATGACACAGAGGTGCACATATTTCAATCTTTCAAATAGTCTATCATAAGTTATTTAATATGTCATTTTGTATTTTTAGACATTTGTTAAGATGACTGCTATTAGACTTTGTAAATATTGGTGTTCTAATTTTAGAGATGAGGAAACAGACTCTAAAGGGACTTGTTTAGAGTCACAGTATTAATATAGAATTAGCATCAGTTATTCAGTAACTTAATTTCTTTGAAAAACATACAAATGACTCTGCTGTTCAGAGTTGGGCCAGCCATTGGTTGTCCTCTTGGGGTCATTTGGGAATAGCCTTTTGGCCTAGAGTGATAAAAGCCTCAGGGATGCTTCAGGCTGATTCTATACCCCTATTTTCTACAACACCCTGGCTTCTCGGTTACACACCCTCCAGTTCTAGGGACCTAGAACCTGTCTGCGTTCCCTACATAGAAGGATCTGGAACTGTTTCCTTCATCTAGGGCATACCAGGAGCTGTCCCCTACCAGTCCTATTGCATAGATTGGCAACAGTTTCCAAGGCTGTGGGATGACAGTGGGAGCTCCCGTGATATGGTCCCTCTGTAGCTATTTGGGCTGGTTCATTGCTTAGCTCAGCTCAGACACTGTGGCCCATTTATACTACCTGGCTGATTGAGCAGCAGACCCTGTGGGCTGTCTACCCTCAGATGTATTTGAAATCCAACATTCCTTATTAGTAAGTTGAAGCATGTGAAATTGCAACTATTTGACCACTGACCATTTTTGAGCTATAAAAATGACAGTTGCAACCTAAATCTACCACCTTTTGTAACCTCTGGGTTATATCTTTTGTTCATTTTTCTCTTGGGATTATTTACATTATGAATTTGAATGTACTTTTTATGTATTAGATATACTTGCCTGTCATTGATAGAAATATCTTTTAACTTTTTTTTTTGCTTAGAACTTTATTGTTCAGGATTTAAAAATTTAAAATATTTGAATACATTTATTCTTTTCCTCAGAGCTTGTTTTTGTAGAAAATATTGTTCACCTTTCAGCTTGTACATTAACTGCCAATGGGTTGACCCTAATCAAAATGTTGCTGCCACTTGTAAAGTACTGAGAACAAGCGGCAGCTCTGCTCCCTGCAAGTCTGGTATGTAGACTCTTTGTTTTTTAGGCAGTTGTTAAAGAACTTAGTCATGAAATACGTGGGACTCTTAGCTCCTGCCAGAGGTTAAGAATATTTATGAATATGCTATTGGCTATTGTAGATTTTTCAACCTCCAGCCTTGTATCAAACTAGATAACAAAGCCAAGTATCTAAACCATATTTTCTCATCTTCCCCAAAAATGCTTTCACTGACTTGTAATTTTATTTTATAACCTTAGTCTATTCAAAGGATCTGCTCTAATTGTTGGCATCTTAAAGTCCACAATTGAAGATGTCTGAGTTTTCCAAATATTCCATAGTTTGGAACTCATGCTAAAATTATTCATTTATGGGTTTAGTTCTAGGGAAAGAAAGATTTGACCTTGCAGTTGGATATTTTCAGTTATCAGATAATCAAAGACACATCAGTTAGAAAACCATCTCATTAGGATCCTTGGCAGTAATTAGAGTATTTCAGGTGCCTCATAACAGCTTTCATCTCAGTTCTGTTTTAGTACTTATTTGTGTAATTGTCTATTTTTGTTTTGGATATTCTTTTGGAAGTATATATAAATCCAAATTTAATTTTAAAAAGCTTGATTCACCTCTGAAATAATATGAGTGATTTATGCATTTGGAAAGGTGCAGTTGCAGTTCAATTTGCCATTGTAAGTATTCCAGGGTAGTTGGGGGTCCATCATAGGGAAAAGGTACATGTTAGTAGATGTGATTCTGCCCAATGGGCCATTTTATGCTGCAATGGCTGGACCACTAAATAAAAATATGACTCTCAAAATTTTGTTATTAGAAATAAGTACTTTTATATTCACTTAGAACATTATCCTACAACTTGAACCTTAAAAACAACTAATAATAAGGTTCCAGTATTTAGACACGTAAGATGAGGTGGTCTGCGTTTCAATGAGGGTGACACTCCTTTCTTTATATAAGTGCAGGGTAGGAAGTAGGTTTTGAGTGACTATAAAGGAAGAGCAGGATGAGTGAAAGGGATGACTGGATCTGTGGCCAGGGGGGTTCGGACACAGCAAAGTTGGTCCCCATGACTGTGAAGTATCCAGCTGGATAAGTCAGGGCATCGCACGTACTGATGAACCAGAGTCACTAGGATTTTATGGTGTCCTTTCCTGGGGTATGTTTCAAAATGGTCTGTTTGGATGGCTATTTTTGGGAAACCAAGCATGTCACTGAACAATTTCATTTCCTTGTTTTACTTCCAGACTGAGCAAGAGTGACACTTCAATCTACTTTTTTTTTTTTTTTTTTTGAGATAGGGTCTCGCTTTGTTGCCCAGGCTAGAGTGAGTGCCATGGCGTCAGCCTAGCTCACAGCAACCTCAAACTCCGGAGCTCAAGTGATCCTCCTGCCTCAGCCTCCCGAGTAGCTGGGACTACAGGCATGCGCCACCATGCCCGGCTAATTTTTTCTATATATATTAGTTGGCCAATTAATTTCTTTCTATTTATAGTAGAGACGGGGTCTCGCTCTTGCTCAGGCTGGTTTTGAACTTCTGACCTTGAGCAATCCGCCCGTCTCGGCTCAATCTACTTTTTAAAAAAAGTCTAAGAATTATCCAGACATCTCCTAGCATGTAGACTTTTATATATACATATACATATATACACATATACACACACACCCTCCTTAGAAACTTGGGGGTTTTGTATATTTTTTAAATATGGAGATATAAAACTTATACATGTCTTTTTTCTTACCTCTTTATTAAAGAGATTAAGGTCAATGTAAATACAGATTAAACCCTTCAAAATGTTTATTATTAGTAAGTGTTACAGTAGTTACTTAAAAGGAGAAATAGGACTCTAACTTTGGGGGTGGCTAGTACTTTAATACTTGGTTATTATTTTGTATGTCTGACCTGTTGCATTTGTTACATATGCTTATATTTTGTGCAGTGTTAATATTTGTTTATTTCTTTTGAAATAAAAAGGAATTTGAACATCTTACATGAAAGACTCAGCCAGTCTTGTTTCCTTTTTTCTAGTGATACCAGGCAGGTATTTTCCACAGGAACAAAACTCTCACTGCTTTCTAAAGTCGGTAATGACCATTTTTAATTCTTTGATACTTTTCCCCAGGGCTATGAGGAGGTTTCTCAGAGATTCACCTCCATAAGGCGAGTCCGTGGTGATAATTACTGTGCATTGAGGGCCACACTGTTCCAGGCCATGAGCCAGGCAGCGGAGCTGCCCCACTGGCTGCAGGACCCGGAGCTCATATTGGTACGCTGCTGCAGGTTTGAGTCTGCGATGTTTAAAATCGTTTTTGTGAGAGCACTTTAGTTTTCTGCCTGTTGGTACCTGCTAGTATTATCTGGAATATGACATCAGCATATGGGTTTATTTAATTTTGTGTAGCTGGGATGATTTCACATAGTAAAGTGACCAAAAATAATTGGTATTTCCCAGAAGAGAAAAATGATAAACTTTTGTGATCAATTCACCTGAATTAGAGAGCAGATGTTTAGAGTTGGTAAAAAGCACTTAGGAACAGTTTGATTTCAATTTTGGTATTAAATATATTAAATAGGCAGTATATTTTACTGTTTGAGAACCTACCAGAGTTTTAGAATACTTATTTTTTCAGTTTTAATTACAGTTCAAGAAATTAGTACCTTCTGCAAAGTGTGAAGATTGGCTTATTAGGCGGCTGAATAGCAACACTAGAAGAGAGATGATTAATGTCACATGGAGAGAGGCTTCCTGGGAAAGCGAGAGGGCTCTTCCAGGCTTGGCCCTCTTTCGAGTTTGAACCTGCCATCTGCCACATGTTAGAGATGAACTGGGAAGTTACGGATCCGAGTGTCCTCACACAGATAAAGTCACATACTAGGTTGGATGAGAGAATATCCTGGAAGATTTTAGTGGCGGGAGTGATTGATTGGAAATGACAGTATGGTATTAGTTGGAAGAAAACTGAAAGTCTTATGCTTAAATTAGAATAAAACCCCCAACCCAGAAGTGTTAGCTGTTGGAGATCTGCCTACTAGTAATTTATGAAAGGAAAAAAAAGATGTCAGAGGTTTAATTGATTGCAAGTTGCAGGCCCCCCGCCGTGAGCCTGCATGGAGTGTAATGGCAGCAGTAACAATGCCCTGGCTACATTTTAGAAGGAATGCTTCTGAGAATCAGACAGTGGCAGCCCTTCCTTCAACTGGGCTGGTCAGAGACCATCTTTAGGACCGAGTTGCACTGTGTGCCTGTATCCTCATTAAGAGATGGGAGTGTGACCAAGAGAGTTCATCTCATTCTGGGTGCATATGAAGGCCCTGGGGTGTTTGCCTTGAATAAAGACTTTTAGAGGAAACTTGTTGCTGGCTGAGCTAGTTAGAGGCCTTATGGGTGGACAAAGGATCACTTGCTCCAGAGGGCAAAACCAAGACTGGTAAGTGGAGGATACTGCTTGTCTGTTGCATAATAATTTTAAAAATCAACATAAAATCAGCACACCTATATCAACTGTCAAAATGACATTTGGACCTAGGCGCAGTGGCACACACCCGTAGTCCCAGTAACTTGGGAGGCTGAGGCAGGATCTCTTGAGCCCAGGAGTCCAACCTGAGCAACATAGCAAGACCCTATCTCTTTAAAAAGAATCTAGGAAAGATATTTTCTTCTAAGCAAAGATGTCTGTCATCTTAAGCAGATTTTTCAGATTAGCTTATTTCTTTCTTATAGAGGCAAAAGAAATTGATACACTAGACTTTTTTTCTTTGCAAATGATGTCATTTATTAATAGTAAAATATTTCCAAATTGTTAGTCAGTCAGCAAAATCATGCCTGTGCATAGAGATAAGCCCCCACTAGAGAAACAGTGATTTCACTGTCTTTGCTTTAAGTTCTGTACTTGACAACCATAGTTTAATTTCCAGATTGTGACATAAGATCCTCCTCAATTTTAGGCCGTTTTCTTTTTGAATCTTTACCTTTAAGGAGTTATTTAGATTTATGGACTTAATTGACATTGAATTTGAATTTTATACTTTTTGAGAAAATCTGGTGTAAATAGTGTCCCAGGTAATTAAAAATATAAAATATGCCCTAAAAAAATAAAGTACAATGTCCTTTTTCTTTTGCTAAAAAGATACATTTGGATAACATCATCTGCCAAAGTAAAAATCGTCTAGATAGATTGTGTTCAGTCTTTTATCAGTATTATTAATAGAATATGTTACATGTGTGAGTGGTGGGGCTTTAAGGTGTTTTTTATGACTTAATTTGTGTAATGTGAAAATAGTTTTTAAGTTCTCAAGTGTACTTTCCAGTTTCTTCCCTTTTCTGTCTGTCTCAGAGAGTATATTTTTCTCTTGGTAGTACGATCTAATTAGTTGGTCACAGTGATATTATTTTTGTCATCTAACTTTTATTGAATGTCAAGAGGCCTGTGTCAAAGGAAAAAAACACATCGTACCTGCCTGTGAGTTTAGTGTTTACATTTATTAAACTTTGGTTCTTCTAAATATCAGCTGAAGAAATGACTTTGTTCTTTTCTTGCTCTTATCCTTGTGCTGATATTCCAGTCCCTGGCAATTTCACATGATTTGGACACTTTTGTCACACTGTCTGTTTTGTTGTATTGCTTCTGAAATATGACCGGGTGACAGATTCAGCACATGCTTCACTTCAAGGGGCCAGTGGAGGAGGGAAAGGGTTTATAAGCTTAGTCTGGTTGTGCTGGCCAGATGCTTTTGAACTTCCTCCCAGGCATCCTACAGACCCCCTGTGGCTACCTTCTATTCCTGATGTCACTCTGGCCCCACCACCTGCCTTTTCCTTGGGAGGTTCATTCTGACAGGGCCTTTGATGAGTGAGAAGCCGTGTGTCTCAGCATGACTGCAAGAAGTCAAAGTTGGAACCATTAGTTAGTTGTATTTGTGTCCATTTGCAGATTGAGAGATTGTTCTCTTAGAACACGATTTGGTTTCAGGATATTAAAGGGAAACAGGAGAGCTAAACTGAGCGACCCTTCCCTTCATTTGGGCTTGGGGAAGAGACCCTAGGCTTCCTTTGTGCTGGTGCCCACTTCTCTGGCCTGCTCTGTTCCCTGCCTGTGAGGTGAACTTTGTCCTTATTGTCCCTCCTCACAGTTCACCCATCCCCTCATCTCCTGTCATCCTTCCTGGGCTTCCTGTTGTTGTTTCTGTGTCTGTCCAGATCCTAGTCTCTGTGTTTGACTGCCATCTGGTCATCTGACCCTGACCCCAACCACAGAGATGGCTTCGTCTGGCTAGTCTTAAACTTGGGACAGCATCTTGGTCCCTGAGAAGAGGTGTTGTTTAGAGCAGGAGTCCCTTGGTTTCCATGTTCACTAAATTTTAGAATGTCTCTGAACAGGTGGGACACTGATAATATTTGCTTAGAGTGGGATAGAATGTATAATCGGAGCTCTTTTTTAAGAGTAGTTTGGAGGATGACACATTTTTGTTACTTGCTGTCTTCATCATGATGTCAAGAATTACACACATTTGCTTGAGAAAACAGGATGTTTTATAGTTTGGTCACAAATGAAATTATACCTAAGCTAATTACTGTGTTTCCCCGAAAATAAGACAGGGTCTTATATTTATTTTTCCTCAAGAAGACACCCTAGGGCTTGTTTTCAGGGGATGTGTTATTTTCTCCTCAAAGCCTCAGCTTGCAGCACGCACAGGATGGCCGGGACCTGACAGGGGGAGCTAACCTTGTTGGTGGGGCTGCCCACACCTTTCTGGTCACCTCTGGGATAGTAGCTGTCACGACGGGGCAGATGAGAAGGGCTGCTCATCTTCTTTACTGCTCCGCGACGAAATGCATGCGTTGTGCAGATACGCTGCATAGCCATGCCCATCACTAGGTCTTATTTTCTGGTAAGGGCTTATATTGCGCAAATGCTTAGAAATCCTGCTGGGGCTTATTTTATGGGTAGGTCTTATTTTCAGGGCAACATGGTACCTACTTTATTCTTAAATACTTCCAGTCACTGTTCTCATTTAAATTTCATTTCTTGCTTAAATCTCACTTATTCTTATAGAAGTTTGGTCTCTGTGCTTAGAAAAGAATGGCTATTTACAAGTGTTCCATGTGTTAAGACCCCTGAAAGCATTTAAAGTTATATTTACATTTTTCTTCTGAATAAGTAATTCCAACTCCATTATTCTTTTCTAATGCCTTATTGTTTTGGGCTTTCTGTAGGTAGGATTTCCACTGTGGAAGTACAGAACCCTGAACTGGATCACTTTAGCAACAGTTTGACCAATGTGTGGAAGACATGAGGAAACTGACTTTCATTGTTTCACTCTGTGTAGTTAGATTTTTGGGGTCTCCAGAGTAATTCAGTGGAGTATTTGCCTGATTCTTAGATAACTGTGTAATGTCACACAATGCTCAGGTGGTCTTCTGGGCTTCCCTTCACCTCATTTCCCATCTCACATCTGTGTAGTGCTAATATTTTCTGCTTAGTTGTATTAATAGTTATTTGTGCCCAGTTGTAATTTCAGCTTATTGCCACTTGAGGGCGTGTTAGATTCTGGTGATAAATATGCGACTGAATTGAGAGTTTTTGCTGCAGAGCTGCCCACATGTGGCTGAAATACAGGACAGTGTGGGCGCAGACCTGGGCTGGTGCAGCTCTTAGGTGGGTGGTCATTTGTCATCCTAATAAGATGAGAATATGACTGCTCCTCCCTTTAGTGGGTGATGTAGATTGTCATTGCTGTGTAACATTGAAGAGTAATTTACATCCCTTTTGTGTGGTTCTGTGTTTTGTAGAAACGAAACCACCCAATTTCACGTGATTGCTATAGACTGAGAAGGTACAATGGGAATTACCATTCAGGAAATGGTCTTTTGTGCCTTAGATTCCAATAGAAGTGAACATACAGCCTCATTTAAAACTGTATTTATAACCGCTAAACAACTTCGGGTTCCTTGTAGGATAAGATTTAGTTATTATTTAATGATCTTTTGACTTGGAGGTGAAATTTTTTCCTTTCTAAATTTTGTAACAGTGAAGTGACATGCTTGTGCCCAGCCTCATTATATGCTTTTTCTCCTGACACACCCAAGACTGTTGGGAGAGTCTGACTTTTCCCATGCTGTCATCAGTCAAGTTGTGTCTCAGCTTGCCTTTCATGCTGCAGATTCTGTTGATAATTAGGGGGAAACAAAATAACAAATACTCCAGGGGAAAAAAAAGGAAAGCAGAAATGTAGTGTTGAGCTGTCACTTTTTTCATGAGCTGTGTGCATGGTCACAGCTCCCTTAACTGATCCCTGCTGTTGCTTCTTAGTTGTATTTTTTATCGTACAATGTTGATTGGGCATTAAACTAGATAAATATTCTTTCTTTGGATGTTAACCACTTTGGTATGGCACTCACCTGCCTTGCCCATAGCCGGCACTCACAGTCCGCACGATAGTTTGTGCTGTGCATTGACAACGAATCCCTTTTGCTCTTGTGTGATGAAGAAAGCTTGAAAGCACTGAAAGCTTATTTTACTTTACAGGCAGCTTTACTTGTAATGTAAATCAGAATAGGTAACATGTACATATATGTTTTCATGACATTATTTTTAAATGTTCACAATTTTATTTTGATAAATGAAAAATTAGAAAAGTCATATCACAGCTGTCGGCTAAAGTTGCTGCGTGTGTTCATCTGTGGCTATCGACTATAGTCGATGCTCGTACCGAAGTTGTTAAATCTTTGACCACTGGTACTGAAGTGGTTCAATAATCTATGTGTTACTATTATTTAACAAAAGGTCTTTCTTCTTTTTTTTAGTGGCTTTTAAAAATATCTGATATTAGATTTTATTTTCCTAATCAGGGAAGGAGCAGGTTTGACTTTACCCTGTACCATCTCACGTGGCTTGGAAAGTACCTTCCTGTGTTAGGTAGTGGTGGGGAGGTGATGGTGGTTGGTGTGAGGACACACTCTGGCCGTTGTCTCACCTCATCTGTACAGTTGCTGTGGAATGTCCCTGGCCGTGGTTGGAGTCCCATAGGGTAGATTGTGCCTTTGTATCTGAGTCAACAGCACCATTTCCTCCAGCGGCCCTCTGAAGGGTAGTACTTTCTAAGTTTCTAACTTCCAAATTTAGGTCTTCCATCCTAAACCCACATGACAGATTTTCAGGAATTCTGAAAACAGGTAGGTTTTATAGGCTTGTGGTTTCTTTACAGCTTGGATTGTGTGATGGATTTCTTGGAATGTTAACACCTCTTTATCTCTTTGTTTCTTGATGTTCTAGTTACCAGAAAAACTCATAAGCAAATATAGCTGGATCAAGCAGTGGAAACTTGGACCGAAATTTGATGGGAACAGTGAGGACCTGGTTGATATAATTATGGATTCCCTCACTCTGCTAAGGAAGAAGGTTTGAAAGCATGTAGTTTCCTGTCTCTGATAAGTGTGAAGCTCTTGTTCCTGATTGCCCCTGCAGACCAGCTCTTAGTCTTCACTGTGTGGGTTATCAAACACTCTAGGCTGATTTTTAGGCAAATTGATTTTAAATGAGCACAAAGTCCTCCCATGAGGTCTTTGGAAAAATGGAGACATATCAACATTATATATTCTTGGAGGAGATGCTGTAGATTAGTGTATTAGATAATGAAATGTTTAACTTTCTTAAAAGGAAAACTTAACAAATGTAGTTTTTGTTCTAAGTCAGATTAATAAGTTTCAGGGATATTATTTAGTCCCTATTATGGCATTGTCAGTGATACTAATTCACATTTATTAAATTCTTCCCAATTATGCTTGTGTTTTAAGATTTTGTCTATATTAAGTACTTCTTTTCTTTCTCAGTGATTTTCTAGTTAGCAGATTCAGTAACTTGTCTTTTGAAAACTGTCCTTAGAGCTTCTTTGGAACAAAATTGTAGGGATAACTTTGTTTGCCAATTCCTGTTGATTTGGTGTTTGAAATTCTGCATTTCTATGGCTTTCCACTGTCTCCTCTGTGTTGCACATCCTGCTTGCACACTGGCCTGCACTGCCCTCTAGGGTGCTTGCTTTCAGCAGCTTGGATCCCTCCTCACTAGCAACCCCCAGTTGAGAGCCTGAGAGCCTGTCCATTGCTGCAGGCTTTGTCGAGGGTGGTGGGGGGAGTGTTGGGTAAGGAGGGGGCAGACATAAACTTTCAGGGTCCTTCATAGCACATACCCCGGGTGGTGGTCTGTTCACTCACATGTGATCTGATGCCCCATTATGTTTTCAGTTCCATGAGGGACTGTGTCTTGTGCATTTTGTACCTCATGCCTGGCAGCAAGCCTGGCACAAAATAGTCATTTGGTAAATGCTTTATTGAGTGAATGAACTGAGGTCCCTGACTTCCTAGAACCTAGTTTTTACTTACAAAGTTAAGAAATGTTTACTGGAAAATACACTGTCAAAGGAAGAATAGTAGTTTTTATCCTTCTACTTTAAAGAAATGGGAGAGAAAGGAAGAGGGATTCTGTGCTTGTTACCTGTTGGAGTGGACTGCAGGACTTTGTGTTGCCCAGTCCCTGAGTTAGTGGAAGGCTGAGGGCAGGGCTCTACCGCTGTGAGTGTGAACAGGAAGGCTCTTCAGCTTAGCCACAATTCCCAGTTTCCTTTTTATCTTTCTTTAAGGTCTTGCAAAATTGCTATTTTTGCTTTATTAGATATGTCTACTGTAATTAGACCCTCATTTTTGTAAATGTCTGTGTGATGTCAATTTATAATAACATTGAAATTTTTCATTAGTATTGTGAGCTGCATTACTAACACTTCTGTGTCACGCTCTATACTAAAAGTTTTGTATGTTGCTTAATTCTCATAACTATGACGATGGTGTTGCTGTGGTCACCTCCATTTTATAGATGAAGAAACTGAGGCCAGGAGGTTAGCTAAATGTGCTACAAAAGCCACCAGCTGCTTGGTGATGAGTCCTTGATTCCATCCCAACTGTTCAACCTCTAGACCTTTGTCCTTGATTGACAACTTTGTCTACTTCTGGATGATACGAGATTTAGACAACATGCTCTAGCTTCCAACCCAAATATTAGAGTTCTGTGCAATCATTACCATTAAAATTTACTGTTGGATTTAAAATCTGTAATGGTGTTTCAGAGGGGCACTAGTTATTGGTTATTCATAAGGAGTGGTATTTATGTTGGCATCTCTGTTCTTATTCAGTGTAATTTAAAAGCACATATATTCATAGGTTTTCTTGTTCACTTAAAGAGTTTGCATATGTTCACTGAGTACCTAATACTCTGCTTTATTCTTAATCAGAGGTGAATAAGAATTTCCTGAATGGATTTATTCATTTGGAGCTCATGTATAGTTTTGAGGTTAGAGGGACAAGTTTAGTAAACTAATATTCAGGAAACCTCACTCTCTTCCTTGCTTCTTTCATTTTGGAGGGTTGGCTTTGTGTTTCTGGGTGCGAACATTCCTGTAAGCCCTGTGAGAGGTGGGGAATTGTAGCTGCCCTTCACAGCTTCACACACAGGCCTCCCACATGCATGTTAGCTCTTCCATAGGTATCTCTGATTGACTGCTTCAATCTCATAGCCTAGGAAGTTAGGGGAGTCAAAATTTTTGTTCCATGGCCCTAGTACTTCTCCTTATTGCACTGTACTTTTGTTTCAAATTAATGGAGGAAAAAACGGAATAAGGAGTTTTTGTGATCTAAAGAGAATACCATTGTTTGAGATGGAAACTTAGATGTTGTGAACATTGATATGTGACCCATGGTCACCTACTTTTGAAAATAACTTTGTGCTTATAGGATGGAAGTATGAAAAAACAGGGATTTTGTAGAATAGAAATTCTAATTATTATATAACTTTCTTATTGTAGTGGACAGGCTTGGCTGAAATGAGAACTGCTGAAGCAAGGCAGATAGCTTGTGATGAACTGTTCACAAATGAAGAAGAGGAATATAGCCTCTATGAAGCTGTAAAATTTCTAATGCTAAACAGAGCCATTGAACTGTATAATGATAAAGAGAAAGGAAAGGAAGTACCATTTTTCTCTGTGCTCCTGTTTGCTCGGGACACATCGAATGACCCTGGACAGCTGTTGAGGAACCACCTAAACCAGGTGGGACATACTGGTGGCCTTGAACAGGTGAGTTGTACCTTTGGGAATATGTTAACCCAAAATATAACAGTTTCAGTCATCTAACATCTCACAGCTTTTGTAGGTCAGGAATTCAGGAGCAGCCTAGATGGGTGGTTCTGGCTTAGAGTCTCATGAGGTTGCAGATGTATGTTGTTCAAGTCTGCAGTCATCTGAAGGCTTGACCAGGGCTGGAGGATCTACTTCCCACGTGGCCCACTCACGTAGCTGCAGGCAGGAGAACCCAGTTCCTCATTGGTACTTAGTAGGAGGGTTCAGTTCCTGGCCACGTGGCCCTCTCCATAGGGCTGCTTGAGTGTTCTCACGACATGGCACCTAGCTTCTCTGCGTGATCTAAACAGAGAGCAAGGAGGTAGCCATAGTGTCTTTTATGATCTAATGTTAGAAGTCACACAGTGTCACACTGTATTCTCTTTGCTAGAAGCAAGTCTCTAATCCATTCTACTCTCAAGGGGAGGGGATTTAGGCTCCACCTTTTCAAGTTGAGTGCCAAAAAATTGTGGACATATTTTACAATCAACCACCATTATCTCAGCTGGGGCTTTATTCTGCAGGGTAGTGGGTGGGATTAGTACCCTTGGCTTTAGGAGGGTACAAATAAATGAAGCACTTGGAAGAGCCATTTGAAGGGTATTGTTTAATATTGGCAGCTGTAGCTGCATTAAAAATAGAAATGGATTCACTTTAGCTAGTAGAGCCCAGCCTGCTCTTGCATCTTTTACAGATATGCTAAGTTTGGAGTTTCACACAGACACCCAGTGCAGTATTTTCCTTGAGCCAATAGTTGAGTCACCATACCTTACACTATCTTCAGTGTGTTCTTTTCCCTAAATAGTCTTAATAAGTTTTTTTTTTTTTAGTGGAATAGCCAACTACTAAAGTAGCATTAAGGCTGTCCATCAAAGTGCCACCCTCCTATTTATACAACTGACTCTTGTGCCTGCGTCTTTCTGGAGAGGCCCAAGTGCCAGGACAGATGCTGTAAGGAATAGATAACGGAGTTGGGTTTCACTCTGAGCTATCCTGGATGATGGAAGTCTATTCCTTTGTTATTCCCAGTGTGTAGAAAAGAGCAAAGGCTAATAGTTGCTGCTAGGTCAGGCAGGGACTGATGATAGTTATTTAAAAAAATGATCTGTATGCATAATGTGGGTTACTTATGTCTCCTGAACTGTAGCAAATACCTTGCAGTAAAAAGCCTGGTAGTTTGCATATTAGACTGAAGTTAGTCCTTCTTAAGACCCTACGAGGTCTGCTGTAATGATGAGTCCATTCTTTTTTTTTTCTTTTTAGTAGCAGCTCCTTTGAAATGTAATTTGTATATCATATAAGTTCATCCTTTTAAAGCTTTGCAACCCTCACTATAGTCTAGTTTAGACCATTTTAACACTCTCGAAAGAGCCCCCATGCCCATTAGCAGTCACTTTCCCTTCCCCCAGGCCTAGGCAGTCACTAATCTACTTTCTATCTCTCTGGATTTGTCTATTCCGGAAATTTCATGTAAATGAAATCATATAGTATGTAGTCTTTTGTGGGTGGCTTATTTAGCATAATGTGTTTAAGATTCATCCATATTGCAGCATGTATCAGTACTTCATTCCTTTTTATTGAAAAGTAATATCCTATTGTGTGGATATCACATTTTATTCATCTATTCTTCAGTTTGATGGGTATTTACGTTATTTCCACTTTTTAGTTATTGCGAATAAACTTGCTATGAATATTCATGTACAGTTTTTTCTGTGTGTGTGGACATATGTTTTCAGTTCTCTTGGGTATATACCTAGGAGAATTGATAGGTCATATGGTAGTTCTTTGTTTAACATTTTGAGGAACTGCCAAACTGTTAGAGCAGCTGTGCCATTTTGCATTCCCATCAGCTATATATCAGAGTTCCATTTCTCCACATCTTCACCAATACTACTTACTGTCTTTTTTTTTATTGATGTGAAGTTCACATAACATAAAATTAACCATTTTAAAGTATACAACTCAGTGGCATTTTAGTACATTTACAGTAAACCCCATTTGTATGAAATCAGTCCCAAAATATTTTTGTTACCCCCCCCCAAAAAAAACCCCATACAGTCACTCCTCATTGTTATCTTTTTGATTATAGCCATTCTTGTGAGTATGAAGTGGTATCTCATTGTGGTTTTAATTTGCATTTCTCTAATGACTTATGATGTTGAGCATCCCTTCATTTGCATATCTTTTTTGGAGAACTGTCTGTTTAAATCCTTTGCCCAGTATTTAAGCTGGTGGGTGGTTGTTTTTTTTAATTGTTGAGTTATAAGAGTTCTTTATATGTTTTGGATACAGGTCCCTCATCAGACATATGATCCATTCTTGATTATCTGATTAACATAATAAAGGATAAGGGCTGGGCCCAAAGGGGAGGAAAAAAGGTTGTGGCTTCGCCATTGTGCATTTTCTGGGATGATGGGTGGAGCGTGGTGTTAAGCCACGCCCTTCAGTATGGCCTCCCTCAGAACACCCATTTGCTCTTTTCTACCCAGGTTGAAATGTTCCTCCTTGCCTACGCAGTGCGCCACACCATCCAGGTGTACCGGCTCTCCAAGTACAACACCGAAGAGTTTGTTACAGTCTACCCCACCGACCCACCCAGGGACTGGCCAGTGGTCACTCTCATCGCCGAGGATGATCGGCACTATAACATCCCCGTCAGATTGTGTGAGGAGACGAGTCTGTGAGAGACACGCACCCGGACAGCCTAGCAACATGACCAAGGTGCACAGGCAGCTACTGGGCTTGGGCCTCAGGCCTGTGGGTCTCTAGGAATAATCTCTGGGAACTCTTGGGCCCCTGGAAGCTGAGTGGGACTGGGATGTTCTGAAGACTGGCTTTTGATAATAAGAATTAACCAAATCTCTTCTGTCTGTGATGCAATATGTTTCATTGGAGGCCTTCATTCAGAGCATACCTCTTCGAAGGTGCAAACTGTATCTTCTCCATAAGACAAGTATTTTTGTATCAGAGGAGACTTATTTTGGAGAGGAACATGTTCCAGATCAAGACTCTCTCTAATGGCAAACTGGCTTTTAATTTTTTTAAGATGGTAATCTTTTTTTTTTTTTTTTTTTTGTGGTAATGGGTTTCTGTAGTAATCTTCCTACGCAGTCTGCTCAAGTGCTGTAATTCTGGAATGGATCTGTTAATGGCACAGTCATAACATCCTCTGATAGCCTCATCTTCTTATGGAGGGAAGAGCAATGGTTTGGATTTACATATTAATTAAGACTTTTTTAAGCAGATTGTCTTGCAGACTAAGAGTTGGGTCCAAAAGTGGGTTATTTCAAGGCATTTTTTGAAGGATAGAGGAGCCGCAGGACAGTGGTGAGGGAACTTTGAACTTCTTGCTCTGTGTGATTGTGATAGGTCCAATGTCCCAAGCATGCTGGAGTCTGGGGCTTGGTGTGGGTGGCACCCCACGTGGGTGATCACTGCCTGCGCCTGCACTCTGGTGTCAGGAGCTGTTCATTATTCTGAAATTCCATGGATTCCTGATTTTATAGTCAGAACAGAGTTTATTCCACCTGTGTTTTTACAGGAGGAGACCAAGGCCAAATGATCTCAGTCACTGATCTAAGAGGTGGGGCTGAGCTGCAGCCTGGTCTTCCTGTGCTCTTTTCATGCTGGGCTGGAGGGCGCATCTGTTGCCAAATGTACCTCACTCATCTGGTGCAGGGGATGAGAAACAGCAAACTGAGATTTTTCAAGAATAAGTTTAAGCACAAGCATGTAGTAAATATGAGGGTGGCAGGGCTGCATATGCCCTTGATTGGTTTGGAAGCTGAGGGAGGCCACGTTCCTGGTCCTGAGCCATCACCCGCTCAGCACAGGCTGCGGTGGTGACTGGGAGGTGGGAGAGGGGTGGCCCTGCTGCCTTAGGGCCTGGATTGTCCTCCAGGGCTGTGAACCAGAGATATCACTTGTTAGAATTCTATTGGCAGCGCCTGGATTGGCTCAACATTTGTGGCAGTGTGTTTCCCTGAAGTACTGAGCTTTCTGTTATAATTAAAATCTTTATTTGGTCTAATTTAATGTAGTTTATAAGCTATCTAATCTGTTTTTTGGGGGAGGAGCAAACTTTCTTTGAAAATGTAAGTTTTGCTTTTAATTAAAAGTTAAGTCTTAGTTAAGAAAACTCAGGATGCACAAAACTATTCAGACTGTTACTTTAGTATTTTTCCCATTACCTCATCACATTCACCACATTTTGCTAGATGTAATATTCACATTTTGCTAGATGTTAGTTGATTAGAATGTTGGAATCAAATTTTGCTCTAAAGCTGTTGTGAATGTATTAGAGAGGCTTTGTTTTTCACTGTGAAATGCAGTGGTGCCTTGAATAAGCAGGTACCTAGAAGCCAAATTAATAATAATGACTTAGTATTGGCTTTGATGCTTCATTTTAGTATTTGTAACTGTACAACAGGAAATCCTTATCATTGATTTTTGAACATTTTCAAAAATACAACTTGAAATGTTTAGATCATACATGGCTGTAGGGATCTGTGTCCGTCATATATATTGAATCTGATCATTGGTTCATGTGCATTATTGAATTTTAATAATACTCATTTATCTTTGCATTTTGAAAATATCTAATCTTAGTGATCTTGAACTGGATTTTTGGTCAACTTAATTGTTTACATATTTTTTCTTGATCCTATGTATAATATCGTGCGCAGGAATTGTGGTCCTAACCACCACATTGATAAAAGTATAAAAGGGTATGTTTATTTTATGTTGCTTTCTGTTCTAAGGCCTTGTCACTCTGCTGTCAGACTATTGTCCAGTCTTAGTGGGATCATAGCATCAGAGAAGCAAAGCTTTTCAAAGAAACAGTAGTACTTCAGGATATAGAAATGATTGGCCAACTTTGTTTTTTAGAGACAGGGGCTTGCTCTGTTGTCCAGGCTGGAACTCCTGGGCTCCAGCAATCCTTTCGCCTCAGCCTCCCAAATAGCTGGGACTACAGGTGCACACCACCACACCTGGATAATTTTTTTTTTTTTCCTGTAGAAAGATAGGATCTCACTATGTTGCCCTGACTGGCACTTGGCCAACTTTGAAAATAATATTTCTTTGTTGCAATAGGCAGCTTCAGCTGCCCAGAGTCTTAGTTCTCATTCCTGGTCTTGAGCTGGCCTGGTGACTTCAACAGGTTAGAAATTGAATTGAGATCAAAGTGGATTCAGGAGGATAATCAATTTAGAGGGATATGGTATTCTAGAAGAAGGAAAGGTAGGTAGTAGGAACTACACTATGCTCACTTTCGGTCCCAGAATTTATTGCAAGAGTTCAGGGGTTTTTGACCCCATGTAATTGGCAGAAAAAATATCACCTTAAGCAGTCATGATTTAAAACTATGAGCTCCTTTAAGGTACATTTAAACCTAAAAGAATTACCTTGTGTCATGTTCCTTGGAATTAACATTAATGTTTTCCAGAACATTTTCAGAGTCCCCTCCTCACCTCCTGAGCTACTTCTGTATACACAGCATCAATTTATTTCACTGATACATGTGAACAATGATGGCAGCTTTAGAGAATCAGAAGCCAGTAGTGTATGGTCTCTAATATATAACTTGGGCACATGGGATTGAATCTGAAATGTTTGCAGTTCCTCTTCCTTAGAATGGGGTATATATAAAAATGTTTTAAATGCACAGAACAGGATTAATCCTGTTTCCTTTATATAGCCATTATACTTCTATTACACTATTATATATTCAGTTAATATCTAATAAGAGTTTTCTTTGATTAAGGAGGACATTGCCTTTGTATCCTTTTATTCCCCCCCCCCCAATTTTAGAGCTTATCCTATAATCTCAGGCCACATGAATTGCTAACACATTTGTTAGAAGAAACATTTGTGGGTTTTTATGTGCTTGGCCTTTTCTTTGTGTGTGTAAGATGCTCTGTGTTATCCTGTCCTTCTGATCACCTGCCCTGTGCCCTGAGGTGCTATTTTGCCTGAGTTAGCCCTCTGCTCTTTGAAGATCTTCCAGTGACTGAAGTGCTGTATCACCTTTAATGATAAAGCACTCCTACCATGGCACTGTATACATAGGACTTATATAGACTTCCTGGGTGTGTCTTCTTTTGATGTTAAAATACAGTTTGATCATTTTCCTATCTCTTTTTTCTTAATGCTTTGCAGGTACTCCCCTTTGAAAGCCAGAAAGTACTTTCAGAAGCACAGACTATCGGGGAATCTTACTTGTGGGTGTGCATAAAAATAAATGCCTTTATATAAGATCTATCACTACTTAAAAAAAAAAATAAAACAAAAGGTCTCAGTAGATGTGGAGTGAATCTTAAATCTATGAAGCACATAGAGTTGCCAAATAGTTTAGCAAAGGTAGGCACAATATCAAGTAATTTAAAAATGGTCCAAGGAACTATAGGTGAACTGAAGAAGGAACTGATTTAGAATAAATTTTAAAATGCCATTTAAAAACAAAACAGATGCCAGACAGACCTTCTGTGCTTAAGTTAGAAAAAGATAAAAATCTGAATAAGTAGAAGGTCTTATGTGCATGTATTCTGCAAAGTCCTTTTTCTAAAATTTAAATCCCCCATTTAACAGAAGTGTACTATTTAATGCTCAACTCTTTTGGGAAACTTTGTTTGTGATGTCTTTGAGGAGGTGGAGAAACCAGGGTAGCCAATGCTGAGTTAAGCAGTGGTTTAGTGAATGTGTGAGTAAAGACACATGCAACTGTTTGTTAATGTTCTTGTAATTCAGCTTATACGTTGGAGCCATGAAAAGCACAAAATGAAACTGGTTTGGCTGCCTGCTACCCTTGTCTTTTCTGGAAGTCAGTAGCAGTAGGAGTGAGGTGGGCTTGGCCATGACCAGGAAGGGAGTGTGTGTGTGTTTGTGTGTGTATGCCTGTGCCCGCCACATGTGCGTGAGCATGCGCACACATGCATGAAGGTCTGCGGTTTCTTTATGTGCACGTGACACCATAGCTTGGGATCTAGCAGTATTTTGGGATGGTGGAGGCGAGCTGTACCATGTGACTGTATTTTTTTTTCACAGTAAACTGAAATTTATTACTGGGAATGGTGGAGTGGGCTAGTATGTATAATTAAAATATATAGGGTGGCCACTAAGTTTGGAAACATTAATTATATTGAAATGTCATACCAATCCATTTATGATGTATATCTGTTTCCAGAATTTATGCCCAGCTGTTTATTTGAGCATTTTGAATGCTTATTAATAGCATTCAATAGCATTAATGGAAGAGGACATTGATTGGTGTTGTACGTCATTTAATTTCATTGATTTCTTAATTAGAAGTTTGGGTCAGAAATGAAGTTGCCAAAATATGGGTCAATACAAGGAAGGGACAGTGAGGCTGAGAATAGCCACAGTCTCGGCAGTAGTTTTCCCACTAACTAGAAGTGGTTGAGCTTAATTCTGAACTTCAAAATAATTTCTTTGTACTTAATTTTAGGAGCTTTCATTTATACATTGAAAAATGCCTTTATCTGTATTCACATAAATGGTGCTAAAAATGTGATATCCCTACTAGGAGCCTCAGCAGGCCATAGTAATGTTGGTTACTTCTGAATATGGGAACAAAGCCAAAATGAATGTACTCAGTGAGCCTCCTTCTCATTTCCATTGTTTTTATTAAAATTGTTTTGTATTGTTACCTGCATTTTAGCATCTTTAACTTTTTGTATTATGAATTTGGAGAGGATAATAGCCCAGTTTTAGAACTTCTGTCAGTGGGATGGTGTTTTTCTTCCCTGGGGGGTAGCATGCTGTATGAATCTGGCTGGCTCATCTTGGATTGTTTAGCAGTGTCTTCTCTGTTTACACTGTAAGATGTTCAGCATGTGTCA